TTTGGCTCGATGATCACCAACATCATTGACGGCTCGCTCCACTACAACAAGAAGCTCATCAAGGCCGACTCGCCCGAGACGCGCAATGAAGTCGCGTACTCGTACTTTGTCGCGTACGGTTCGGTGCTCATTGGGTGCCTTTGCGTCTTCTTGCTGCCCAACCAAAAGGCGGCGGTCGCCGAGCTCAAGAAGAACGGCGGTTCGCAGCCCAAGGTCGCGGCCGCCATCTTCTTCATCCTCTTTGCGGTGCTCTGCACGTCCATCACGGGCAACCTCAGCTCCATGTTCGAGTCGACGCGCTGCATGCGTCTTGCGGGCGGCGCTGGCTGCGACGAGGCCCCGCCCAGCGGGTACCTTGCCGGTATCTTTGTGCCCGTCGGTCTCTCGGCGCTCTTGATCGCCAAGATCGCGTACGCGCGCCGCTAAGTGGATCGTCTTTATAGCGTCTAACTATGTAATACCTCGTGTTGTGATTTGTGATTGAAATATTATGTGGCCGAATCATTTTGGTGAGGAGCTACAGTCGAGTTGCAGCCGGATGGAGTGCGGATGTGAGGCCGCAGCGGGGTTTCACGTGAACTAAGATAATTACTAAATGGAGCGTTCTATTAAGCATGTACTGCTCTCCCATGAAGCGTCGCTTCTGAACGAATCACGGGCCTGTGGTTGTATGTGGGCAGCCGGCCGCCGTCGTATTGTATGGGCCTGCACAAGCACAGGACGCTGCCACGTCATGACCGCTTCAAATATAGTGTTTGTCACACTAAACCCGTGAAGAGTAACAACCACATGACGTGGCGTTATAACACCGCATTCGGTGCATTTTTTCTTCGGGCCAGTTTGGCATGGGGCTCCTCCTCTGCCGGCCGCGCTCGACGTCGTTCGACGACTGCGCGCTCCCGCCCGAGCTACTGCAGCACGTCGCGCAGTTCATCCCGACAGCGGCCGACTTCTTCCGCTTCCTTGATGCGCTACCGCTCGACGTCCTCACCGAGCCGCTCGCGAGCCTGCTCGAGCTCGGCGGTACCTTCTTCGAGCCGGACGACCTCTGGCCCGCGCTCGCCTTGCCACCGCATGCCGTCGTGGATGCCGAGGCGCGCGTGCTCCTCGCCAAGGCCATGGTCATGTACCCGCTCGTGCGTGTGCGGCATGTACCACAGGCCCTGAGCTGGCCGCTGCTCCCGACGACGACGATCGCGCTCAGCAGCTTTCACATGAAGCCGGACGCGTTCGACTTGGCAGTGGCCCACTGGCCTGACCAGCTCGTGTCTTTGCACGTCCTTTTGCTAGAGAAGGCGCAGGCGCAAGACGAAGAGGGTGACGCAACGTGGTGTCGCGCTCGCGTCTCGAGTCTCTGCGATGGCCTTCGCACGCTGCGCCGCCTCCGGCATCTGCACCTCCGGCTCTGTCTTCGCCGGCCCGCGCCCGAGCTCTGGGATGCGTTAACTGCCGCGAGCGCACTCGAGTCGCTCACGCTTGACGCGGATGCCGACTCGGTGTGGGACACACGCCCGTTGTCAAAATGGATCGTCGGTCGCCCGGGCTTGCGCAGCTTGCATCTCATCAACCTCGTCTCGGATGCAAGCGCTGCAGACGACGATGCTACGAGCGAGCTTGCGACCGCGATCGTCGGCGCGGCGCAGCTCCGGTCATTGCAGCTGGTGCACTGCGCCGTCACAAGATCGTTGCTGCATCATAATTTGCCACCGCAGATGGTTCGTCTGGTCATTCACACGGACGACGCGTCGATGGATGTTACCCAGCTCGTGCGCGCCGCCGCAAGCGCACCTGGCTTGCGCATCTTCTCGCTGGTGTGCGCACCGACATCACGGCCCTCGCCGCTTCTGGCCTTTCGAGCGGCCACAAGCCTTCGACACCTCAGTCTCAAGTTTGTACCAATCTCGTTCGATGCATGCAGCGACCTTGCGAGGCTGCTACCTCGCCTGCACACTCTCACGCTGGATGGCAACGACCTGGATGACGACGCTGTAGTGGCACTCGCACCAGCCTTCGCCGACGCCATCCTCCTCCGCAAAGTGTATGTGCGGCACCAACCGTTTGGTGACAAGGGCGCTATGGCCCTCGCGACCGCGCTCCCACGCTCGCTGCGGGTCGTGTCGCTGGCCAAAAATCAAATTGGCACGGCCGGCGCGGTAGCGTTTGGCGAGCGACTGCACTTAGCAAGTACGCACTGGACGACACTCGTGCTCCGCGCCAACCCGCTGGGCCGAGACGGCGTCATGGCGCTTCTCGCCGCGCTCGCTGTCCGCCCATTCTGCGCGCTCGATGTGGTGCATACTGTCGTCCATGCCTCCGAGGACGACGACGTCGACGCGTGCAAAGCCAGAATCGCTGGACTGCCCCACGGCACGACCGTGGACTTTTGGTGAATTGAACATGAGTCTATGTACATATTAGTTTGTGGATTGGCTGCACAGATTGTCGTTTCCTGTCGACCGGTGCGAGCGAGTGACACTTGGGTGATAGTTGATACATTCTTGATACATTTCTTCGGTCCTCGTCCTAGAGCACGCGACCTCTAAGTGCGATGCTGCGCTATGGAGGAAGGCAGATACCGTCGATGAAGCGTGGCGTCGCATTCTGGGACTCGTCGACTTGGTCATCGAGAAGCCGAGAGATGGATAGAACCCCGGGCAACCTTCCTGCGCGACGAGGTTCGCTTCGAACGACCTCCGATACGTCCTTACCGTCGGTGGGCACCAACACAGCAGCAAGGTACTGGCGCCGGAATGCTCATTCCTGCTCGTTGCGGCCACATGCAGCTCTCTCAAAAGGTCGATGCTACGAGATAGAAGCCACAGACTACGACGTAGTATCGCCAAAAGTCGGGTCGGGTATGCTTCTTCTAATAAATTACACGGTGGGTGTATACGTGCACGGGCTAAACGCGGCGCTTCTTCTTGGGCGAGTCGGCCCCGACATGGCGCTTCTTGTTGCTCGCCGCGTCGCTCTCGTCGCTCTCGTCAGTCAAGGGCTCGGGCTGCGCCCCAGTGATCTGCGGTCGGCAGTGACGGCAAAACCAAGCGCCTCGTGGCACGGCATCGAGGCCAATGTGCGGCATCGAAAACTCGCCGTCGCAGTTGTCGCACAGGATGAGCATGGCATGCCCCAAGGGCTTGGTGAGCTTGAGGATCAAGCCGCGCTTGCGCACGGGCTTGGTGCGACTGCAACTTGGGCAGGTCCACGACGGCGACGACGCGACGCAGAGCGTGTGGCCCGTCGAGTCGCGGCAAGTGTCGCACGTAACAATGTGCTGCTCGGCGATCGTCGCCAAGCAGCACGTCGAGCACACACCGTTGAGCCGCACGGGCTCGAGCGGACCGTCTTCGTCGTCCGAGTCTTCGTCCTTGTCAGCTTCGTCGTCGTCTTCACCTTCGTCGTCTTCGTCGTCGTCGTCGTCGTCGTCGTCGATGACCTTGACGGATCGCGGCGAAGCGTCGCTGGCGCGGCGGGGCGTTGGCACAAAATCTTCGTCGTCCGACTCGAGAACGACGTCGCTCACGTCCGACTCGTCCGCGGGCTGCGCGGTAGCACGCTTGGCAGCGCGGCGGCAGCTTGGCGTCATGGGCTCGTCGTTGGCCGTATCGCTGTCGTCGCTGTCCGAAGTGAGCCCGGTCTTGCCGGCGCGGCGCGGCGAGCGCGATGGACGGCTCGCGGCAGCCGTGGCTTTGGGCGCCGCCGTGGTTGGGCCGCCACCCAGCGTGGGCGTGGCCAGGTAGTCGGAGAGGTACATGAGACACGTCGCGCAGGGCCACGCCGTCGGGGTGCAGGCGTCGGCGCCCGTGTTGGTGCAGCTGCGGTATGCGGCGGCCATCGCAAGGTCAAAACTTGGCGGCCACTTGCTTCACCGTGAAGTGCCCCGGGGTTCCATCCACGAGGCGCCAATGGCCCTTCGAAAAGAAAGCTTTTATACAAGAATAGATATCTTTTTTATTTCTTTTTGCGAGATATTGCCGCTGCGATCGAATACTGCTGCAGACGGCGACGACTTGTCTTGCGGTACCCGTGCATGTATGCTCCAACGTGGGTAATATGACGTCGCATGCGTCGTTGACGCCGATACAATGTGCGTCGAGAGGTGATGGGAGAATATACATATATAATATATTAGATAACAGAATGTTAAATTAAACGTGGGATTGCACGAAAGTGCATTTTGGGTGTTGTCGTCGACGGCCGCGACGGACTGGCGAGCAGCGTTTGCATCTTAGCCTGGAACGACTGCCACGCGGACGTCCAGCTCTCGTGCTCCTCGCGCAGCTGGGCGTCGTCGACGTCGTCGACAATTTCGCTCGTCGGCGACGCAAGCCGGAGCGACGCGAGCTTCTTATCGAGTTCGTAATGCTCGGCCAGGAACGCAACGACGTCGAGATGGCCGGCGCGGACCGCCGTTGAGAGCGCGAGCGACGTGCAGCCCGCTTGGCCGTGCGTGTGCAAGTAGGCTACAGCATCGACATGGCCATTTGCCGCCGCGGCGTCCATGGCGGTCTCGGTGATCGCATCCGCATGGTGGCGCTGCAAGACACGGAGGACGTCAACATGGCCGCCTTCGGCCGCGGCTTCCGCGACTTCGCCGCGCCAGTGTTCGTGCCACGGGCACTTGTAGGCATCGAGGTAGGCGGCAATGTCTGCTCGACCGAATTGGCTCGCAACCTTCCACGCGGTCGCTGGCCACGGCACGCCGTGCGCGCGGAGCGCGCGGACGACGCCGAGATGGCCAAATTCAATCGCGCGCTCGATGGTTTGGAAGAAACAGCCGTCCGGGTACGCCTCGAGGAGGAACTTGACAGCGACGACGTTGCCCGACATGACGACGAGATGCCACTCGACGTAGTCGACCGGGAGCTTGTCGCAAAAGTACATGATGACATCGAGGTTGCCGTAGTAGAGGCCGTAGTAGAAGAGCTCGAGCGAGACACTAAGAGGCAAGCGCTTGAGACCGCGCTCGCCGTGGACCTTGAACCAGTCGGGAAAGATGTCGTGAATTGGCCACAGCGCAGGCGGCAGTGTTGCAAGGACGTCGGCGTTGTCCCAGACAAGGGATCGAAGCGCGTGCATGAGCGTATGGGTATCGTGCGGCACGCCGAGCTGGAAGGACATGATTTCGCGCAGGAGGTCGGCCGAGTGCCACACACACTGCATCCTATTACGAAATGAAGCCGACAGCGAGAGGGACGGCGCCAATTGTGCTACAGAAATGCGACGCGTAACAGCCTCGTCGATGGGACGTGCAGATGCTCGGATTGAGAAGCGTGGTGCTTCAAGCTTGTTCGGTCGGTCGTCCGCGCTACGCACGCTCCCTGTCGTCGCACGCAGCTGTCCAAACGGCTTCTTTCTTGTCGTTGATTGGCCAGCATTGAAACGCTTCGTGACGTGGCAGCGCGTCTTTGCAGCCTGCAGCCACCACCGCCACATCCGCGGCGTTGACGTCAAGCCACCCACGCGTCTTGATGGTTGTCTCGATACATGCCCGAACGGTTTTGAATGTACTTGAACGCTAAACGAGCAACGATGGTGCATGTTGCCGACGAGCGACAAGCGACGAGCGTCCCAGATGGACGATCGCGACGGATCTGGGAAGGCGCAGGCTCTCTACCGATAGTGCGCTTGCATCGAAAACCTGTCGTTGCCCGTGGAGATGGCCAGAAGGAGGCAGCCTCGTATGGTTGTGTCTTGCAGCGACACGACGTAAACCTGCGACGTGTCTTTGCCGCCAGCTCGTGTCAAGTATCCCGCGACCATGTCCATGCTCGAATGTGTCCTACTGTACCTAAATCGCATTGACGTTTGCGCATCACACCCCTCCTATTGTCCGTGGTACTAGTACACACTCTTCTCCGCGGCATCACCACCGGGATGGCTAGACATTGTCCTTCCAGAGGCGATAGGAGAGGACCGGCGACTGTTCTGCATCTCTTGGTTCGACGAAGAAGAAGCGCGTCTCGTCTATGATGCGCGTAGAGGTGGCCGTGCCCGGCAAAGTCGTTCGAAGAAGACACACGCGTTCAGTACAGCGTGTGTGCCTCCACGATAGCGCACAATCGAGTTACTTGCGCAAGTGATGCGTCTGCGCGATCCTGCATCAAAATCGATACAGGCGCGGCCACTGAGGAGGTTTCGTGTTACATCCTTGACCGTTGGACGCGCTAGTTTGGCACACGCGCTGTCCTTTCCTTGCGCTTTTGCACGAAGACCCTACGGACGCGGAAACACCCGCGTTGGAAGCCGTCAACAAGTCGAATCGAACCCGATGTAGTTCGCTCGTGTGCAACCAAGGGCATACTTACACCCTCGGTGCTATCTTTTTCCCTTTTTCACTCGATGCGACGCATATCCACTTCAACAAGATAGGAAACTGCCATCCAGGCGCCCAATAGGAATGCAATTCCGTGAGCGAAATGCCAAACGCACGTCTCGTCGCACGCCGTGCCACGTCATGTACCCCGGGGTATATCCATCACAAAGTGCAAAGTGGCTTGCGATGCACCCCGGGCCTCGTTCCCGACGCTAGCATCGGGTGTCAAACTTAGAGTGGCGCCAAAACACAAATGTCGATGGCATTCATCGCATTTGATTTGCACCACAGCATACCTACAGTACTATCAACGCCATATACTTTGCAGAAAGTTTATAACCTCAGTAAACATTTCCTGGGGATCTGCTGTCCAGCGCAAGCTCGTACAAAAAACTATTCCTTCCTGTCGCGTGGTACCTTGTATCAAGGAGCCATACACTGCGAATGGACCGTGGGCTGGTCCATGTACGACACTACAAGTTCCATCAAGCATGATATCGTGTGACACGACGCGTCATTGACGAAACGCAAGGCGCCTTTTGGCTGCCTTTTTGCCAAATTTAACTTCAACCGACTGAGTCACAACCATTCTCGCAGTACAAGCATGCCGTTCATGTCGTCGGCGACGGCGCCGACATCCGTGGTCGGGATCGGGCCCATGTCCCACGTCGTCCGCGCCAAGCAACGGCCGCGGCTGGATGCGTTTCTGCGGCGCGTGGACTTTGTCATTGGCCTCGTCGTTGTCGTGCTGGTTGCGATCGATAGCGTCGCCAACAACTGGGAAATCAACGCTTTTGTCGGCGACGCGTACGCCTTCACGACGCCGGTCGCCACCGTCTCGCATGCGTCGGACCTCGCGGCGCAGTATAGCTTTCCTGTCGCCCGCGGGTTGGACGATGTGTCCAAAATCGGGTTTTGGATGGTCAATTATACAGTTCACGCCATGGTGACCAAGAGCCCGGACCTCTACGTGCTCTCGGTCGGGTCGTTTCCGCTCACGCCAAGCATCGACCAGTGCAAGATCTTGCGCGCCACGTACCCGCATGACGTGGCCGCGTCACCGATCGCCCGACTCGGATTTGCCTCGAACGTCGTGACGTACTTTCGGGGCAATACCTTCTCGCATGCTTTTCAATCCGATGCAACGGTGAACTTGCCGACCGCAAGCATGAACGACGTCCAGCTGCGCGCTCTCGGGTATGTGCCCGGGCGCACGGGCACCGACATGCGGCTCACAACGGGCGTTGCCGTGGCCAACGTGTCGTATGCCCAGAACCTGCTCGTAGCGTTCTACAAGATTTCACCACGGAGCTTTTGCACCGGGTGCCCGCCGGTGACGGAGCTCGGGTACGGGCAGTGCAACGTGACGCTCTTGTACAACGACAGTACCAAGCAAGTGGTGATCTCGAGCAGTGTCAACCACTTTGGCTCGATGTACAAGGTCGGTGTCTTGCTGCCGCAGTCGGGCTTTTCGTCGGCGTCCCACTATGTCAAGTTGACGGCGATTTTCTTTGCTGTTGGCGGGTACCTTGCGGGCCGTCGCACGGTGCAGTGGATCGACATGGAAGCGCTCTTGGCCAACGCCGACTCGATTTTTTCGAAAATTTTGCGCACGATTTCGCCGAAGTACTTTCCGTACCCGAGTTTGGCGCTGCGCTTTGATATGTTTTGCTACAATTCCGACATTTTCGTGTTTCTCTTTGCGATTGGCGTGCTCCTCGACATTGGCAACTGCCTCATGTACCTGCGCGTCATCAATCTCTTCAACGCGCCGTCGCCGAATATTGTGTACAACATTCAGCAATATGCGCTGAGTACCCGTCTCTTGTGGATCAATTGCGCGGTGCTCAAAGTGCTCAAAATTCTGTGCAACCTCGTGACGACGTCGACGTACAATGGCGAAAACAAGGTATGTTCTGATATTTATATCTATCGTGGACCATTGTACAACTCTTGTCATTTTTCATTTTTTGCGTAGCTCATGCGATTCCTCAACTTGACCAACGTCACGTCTTTGTACATTAGCGCGATCGTGCTGATGTACGTGCCGCCGTTCATCGAGTACTCCAACAGCGTCATCTTTGACCTGAACCACAAGGTGCAGAACCTCGATGACATCCACGTCCTCGCCTTTGACAGCTTTTACCTCCGCGTCGTGCCCT